GGGGGTGGGGTGGGGCATACATCTTTGCTTCCAGGGAGCCATTGTACAGTTGCATGGTATTAACCTGACAATTTCACAGGTTCCCAAGTGGGCCTGGTGAGAGCCTGCTTAGGCCAGGGCAGGTGGAAGCCCTAATGCCTCCTTGGCCCCTCAACCTCTAGCCAGGGGAAAAAGTGAATGGCTTTGCAGATGCAATAGAAATTCCATTTCCCCCTTTTCCCATTTCCCTGCCCTGCTTTCAGTTCCTTTTTCCCAATTCTTGCCAACACCTTCAGAAGTTGGTTGGCTGGTCTTAAACAGTCCCAGGGTGCTGGGCTTGGCCTAGGCCACCGCTGACACTCCAGCACTGGAAGCAGGAGAGAAGCTACCTCCTTGCTTTGTAGAAAGCACTTAAAAGTCCTAAAGAAAGTCTATTTTTTTTTTCTTTTTGGCAAATGCACAGACAGAAAAGTACAAGCAGTTACTATTATCTGTAGTTATGTTTATCCTAAACAAAAACATCTCATCTAAAGTATGAACACTGATTTACTCTTAGAGAGCAGAAGAATAAAAAGGTTGAGGATTTTTCTTCGTAGAAAGTGAGTGGCCACCTTCTTTCCTACTTTTCTGGTTTCAGCATGGGTGCCACGAATCCCCAACTTTCTTCCCCTCCCCTCATCCCAGGCCTGAGTAGCTGGGCACACGGGGGTGAGGAGGGTGCAGCTACTAAAGATGGAGGGCTCCTTGGAGGAGAAGATGGGTGGGAGGAAGGGCAACAAAATATTATGAAATGGCAACCTTCATGGGCTGGGAGGCTAGAGGCCTAGGAGTGAGTCTCAGTTCTACCACTCATCTTGTGATCCCTTTCTGAGCCTCAGTTTCATCATCTGTATCATGTAAGGCCTGGACAGGCAATCTGGAATGAGAATTCCAGGCCTCTAGGAGACACAGTTAAAGGCAGCTGCAGACTCATAGGGCAGCATTCGAGAAGCCAGGGGTAGAAGAATCAGTGGAGAAGGGAGGAGAGTGTGAACCTAGGCCTGTGGGGCAGGAGGTTTGTCAGAAATGAAAATTGCTTGGCCCTCCTGACCCTGATTACTCCTCCAGACAAACTCACAAAGGTAGACAAATACCTCATCTAAACTTTGCCTTCCAGTCTACAGCACAGCACTCTGTATGTAACAGGTGCTTAACAAAGGTTGGTTGTAGTTATACTGGCATCTAAATATGGAACTTGGTTATTTGGAGAACAGAAACCATTTCTCCATGGTTACCAAAGCTAGCTGTATATTCTGCCTGGTGTTACCATGAGATTAATTTCTTCTCTAGCAGAAGTAAAAAAAACTCATCCTGGAGCAATTAAGTCCTTTATTTTTAGATGGGATGGATGGCTTTCACTGGCTGGAAGTTCCCTGGGAGGCTGTTGGACTACATTCTTCTCCAAATCCTGACCTGGTTTGGGTACTAACAATTTCCCTCTATCTAGGGATACTGAAGGAAGAAGGACAGACCACAAGCAGGGGCAGGTCGGATGTGTGGGGGCCCAAAGGAAGTGAGAGCTGTACCGGGTGGTGTCCACAAGCTACAGCAGCTTCTTGAGGCTAGAATCTGGCTCACATCAACTTTTGGATCTAATTTTTTCCTACCAAATTCCTTTAGCACGTTGGACTGTAGGACTGTATGACTAAGAGCTGGAAGGGCCCTTAGAGATTATCTAGTCCAACCCCCTCATTGTAAATTAACTGAATAGGTCTCCCCTCCCAGATAATCAGGATGATGTCAGCTATTAGCCAGGGCTCTGCTAGGAAGGGATTCCCTTTAAGGTTTGGCACAGCTGCCCACTTCTGGGCAGGAGAAAAGGCGGGGCAGTGCCCTAAGAGTTGGCACAACCAAATGTATTTTCTGGAGGAAGGTAAGCAAGGCCTAGTGCAACACTGAGAAATCAACAGGATCCAGGGAGAAGGTCTCACCGTGGCCCAGAAACCTATGTGTGAATGCCCACCCAGGTCCATAAGGGAGCTGAATGTCTGGGATGAGCCAGTGCTTTGGGGAGGAAGGTACTAGGGATCTAGGACTGTTGCAGAAAGAGCACTGTACTAGGGAATCAGACCATCTAGGTTCTAGTCTTGGATTTGCCACTTACTGCTTGTGTGATCTTGGACAAATTATGTCTCCCTTTCAGCAAAATGAGGGGTTTGGATTTGATGATCTTTAAAGTTCCTTCCAGGTTTAACATTTTATGATTGTGAGAAGCTTACTCAGCACTTATATTTTGTCTTCTCAAGGTCAGATAGAGGAGGGGAAATCTCATTTTCTCTACCTAAAGTTTAACAGTGCTACCAAGATGGAAGGAGGGAAAACAGACTTACTGAGCCATCTTTGGAACAAATGGGCAGATGGGGGTCTTTAAAAGCTAGCTTTCTGACCAAAGTCCTCCCCCTCAACTCTGTGTCCTGAAGGATTTGGCTTTCCATTTATCTCTAGTCATCTTTCTCTTACCCTGGGCCTGTGTTCTGGCACACCTTCAGGGCTAGGCTTTGAGGGGGCCCCTAAGCTTAGGTGCATGGCTTGAAGGATCAGATCAGGGAAGTTCCTGAACTGAGAGTGGGGCACTAGGTAAATCACCCTGTGAGTTAGTCCACTTGACTGGCAGTTAAAAGAGCATGCAGTATTTGTTACCAATAAGTCTTTTAGATATCCCTAAAAATGGTCCTTGGGAAGGCCCAGATAACCTTAAGGGTGGTGTGGGGAAAAAACATTGGATGTGAAATCAGAGGACTGATCTGAATCCAGGCTCTGAGTAACCTTGGGCAAATCACTTTTTTTCATTGGGCATAGGTTCTTATCTATAAAATGAACTTTAGGGTCCCTTCCAACTTGAGATCCTATGATGAAGTTTAAATGGAATTAAGCAGGGATCCTCAGAGTTTTCCCTTTCTTAAAGTTAGAAATGGCCAAGGATAAGGTGCTTGGTGGTCTGGCTGAGAGAACTGCCAGAAAACTGCAAACTGAGGGCCATGGGAGAATAGTTTTTTTCCATGGTTCTTTAAGAAAGTCCAAAGCTGGTCAACACCAGCCATACCTCTTTCACTCAACAATAAGGGGTAGGAAGAGCATCATGGCAGCCATACAACTCAGTGGTTGTTTTAGCTGGTAAATGGGGCCTAGGATTGTATTATCCTCTCTCAAATCTGAGCTCAATGTTGTCCCTTGGAAACCATGCTGCCAGACAGATGGGTGCTCTTTGCCACCTGATTCCTATAGACAGTTCTAGGTAAATTCATCTAGGAAACGGCCTGATTATCCCAGTGGGAAGGTTGTTTGCCTTCAGCAGAGTAGAAAGAGCTGGTTTCTAAAGTCTTGTTCTGTCACTGATGACCTTCTCCCCCTGAATTTCCTCTGTAAAATGAGGGGACTGGACTAGATCAGTGGTCCCTAACCCATGCTTTTCTGCAGATTGGTAAAATATCTAATTTCACAGGTAATGGAAAAAGCACTGTATTTGCAATCAGAAGACCTGGGTTAAAATCTTGGCTTTGTCACCTTCTAGCCATGTGTGACCGTGGGTAAATTCCTTAATCTCTCTGGGCCTCAATTTGAACCTTTGTGAAATGGATTAGATGATCTGGAGGTCCGTTCCAGCACCGAATCCTAAAATCTATCTTGCTTCAAATTCTGTAGCCTTAGCATCAAGGCTAGGAAAGAAGGGACTGGGAGTGGGGAAAAGAGGGTGAACGCTGGGCTTGGGAGGATGAGTCACTGCTTTTGCTTACAGGTTTTAAGAAAGGTCAAGGTTCCACGGTAATAAAAGTTCTGTGGACAGGGGAATCAGTTGGGGAAACAAGAATTAAATGATCTCAAAGGTCTCTTAGTATCAGACTCTATGAATTCTATTGGTCACTTTCTGGAATCTGGCTTTTGTCTTGCTTGGGGGCCGTGGCCTGGCCACTGAGCAAAGGGATTTGGCCGGTGAATGGGGAGGGAAGAGGTTTCCCTGAGCTCTACTCTTCCCCCCATCCCTCAGTCCACCCACACCTCCCTGGACAAGTGCTTTGGACAATAAACCTCAAGCAGGGTTTAAATGCCAGCTCTGCCAGTGGGTGACCTTGTGGCAAGTAGTCCCTTGATTCTGTGGGCCTCAGTTTCACCATCTGTAAAATGAGACAATTAGACTAGTTGATCTTTGAAGTCTCAACTCTAAATCCTATGATACAGCAGGGGAGGGACTTTCTCTGCCTTGTTATAGGCTGTCAGCAATAGCAGCAGATATGGGGAGAGGGGTTGCCCTGTCTGGTATTCCTAGCCTGTTGGCTCATTCCCTGTGAAGAGGAAGAGAATTCCCTAGGTTCTTTCATCTTCCATGAGGGTCAGGGAAGCTCAGAATTCTGGCCATAATGATATTTCATCATCTCTCTGCCTCCCCTTTCTTTTCTTTTTTTTTTTGGCTAGGCAATAGGGTCAAGTGACTTGCCCAGGGTCACACAGCTAGTAAGTATTAAGTGTCTGAGGCCAGATTTGAACTCAGGTCCTCCTGACTTCAGGGCCAGTACTCCATCCACTGCACCACCTAGCTGCCCTGCTCCCCTTTCTTTAAGGCCTGACTTAAGTGAAACCTCCTCCATGAAGCCTTTCCAGACTCCCCTCAGAAGGAAATGCACCTCCCTCCCAACTTCTGAGCTCCTATAGCACCTGGTAGGGAACCTCTCCTTTGGCTTATTTTATTCCAATTTGTGTTGCTGCTATCTGTGCACATGTTTTCTCTCCTCTACAAGATTTTAAACTTCAGGTGGGCAGGGACTTTTTCTTTTTATCTTGGTACATACTTTAAACTCTACCTGGTGTCTGGCACAAGGCCTGGCATATAGTATTTAATCACTGGCTCTAGGGTTCAGCTTAAGTGCCTTAAGCTCCATTTTTCTGGTACTTAAACGGGTTGGTGGGCACATGTTGACCCAGGGGAAAGGAATTGGAGGACACTTGGGGGGCACTTATTTTAGTGTCTTTGACAAAGAATAATCTCATGAGTGGGTAGGAGTTTTTAAAAAGGATTGAGCCACACAGTTAATTAACAACAACAACAACAAACAAATATCTTTCAAAACCCCTTACCCTCAGAAACAAAAAGCAATCCTGACCCATTCCCATCCCCAGTGCTCAGAAGACAAGATCAAAGGATTCATCCTGAGCCCTCTGCTCAGGCAACAATAGACAGAAATTGAAGAGCTAGGATGGGCTCAAAGGTTTCAAATACCCACATCAATACCTCATGCTTCCCCCCAATGCCCCTCCCCCCAACCCCCCCACAAAACTGACAATGCAAGGAGATGGGCACTCCCCAGTTCAAGCCACTGTTGACTGCTTCCCTTGATGGCTGGGCTGCTAGAGTGTGCTGCCCACAACTCGGTGGTGGAGATACTGATGCCCTGTGATGTATGAGCTGGGAAATGCATGCTGTGGTCCATGGATGACTTCCCTTCCCTATCCCCTCCCCCCCCATCCCGGTCCATGTTTTCATTATCCCTTTATATGATACTGTTGTCAAAATATCCTCCCCCGGTCCCATTTTAGCAATGCATAATTTCCATAATTTTTTTCTTTTTTAAATGAAAGAGTAGGTTTCTTTTTTAAAAGAATAAGCAATTCCTTTAAATTTGAATTCCTGCCAATCTAACCGGAGTCTCTGAATGGCAAGCCATTCTAGGAGGAATTATAACCTAGGTCCACTTTGACCTTGATGTGAGGGCCCCCTAATAACTGGCAGACACCCTAGGTCTCCCTCCTGTCTCTCCACCCACCCTTATTTTGAAACCACTATTTAAATGGCAATAGAGTATCTTAAAAAAAATCAAAACCCTGCCCCTACCCCCTTCCTCCCAGGGACTTTTGGACTGCTTTAGATTGGTATGCTGACCCCGCCTCGTGGGCATGCTGGATTTGATTTTCCACCCAAACGCAAAGCATAGTGTTTGCCCCTCCTCATGGTGGTGGTGGTGGTGGTGGTGGTGTTGGTGGTGGCTGCGGCTGCAGTGGTTCTGGGGGTGTTTTTGGCTGTTGAGAGTTTTTGTGACTTAGGACAGGTTTGGCTTGAAATCGATACTGGATGGGGATGGCCCTGCCAGGGAGAGAGGCTGTGTGTGCCCAGGAGGATGGAGCTATAGGATGATACAAGGCTTTTTGTCCTTGAAGGGGTTCTCTGAGGCAGGCACTCCCACCAGCAAGGGGTCATTCCGGGCGTGCTGTTCACAGTAACTCATGAGCTCCGAGGAGGCTTTGGACACCTGCACATGGGTAGAGGTGAAAAAGAGCAAACACAAAGAAACAAGGTCAGGGGACACGAAGATCTTTAGGCAGGGGCTGAGCAACACATCTGGCCTTGGGCAAGGGCTCATCACAGGATCACAGATCTGGAGGTGAAAGGGACCTCATCTAGGTCAGAGGTCACTTAGGCTGACCTTCTCCTTTTACAGATGAGGAAACTACGATTCAGAGGAAATAAATAACTTGTTCCATTGCACCTGCTGCTTACTGGTCACTGGAGGCAGCTTTGGTGCTAGGGAAGGAGCACTTGGGGCAAGGTTACAAAACAGCCCTGTGAAGGCAGGATCAGAGGCACTGGATTTGGGTGCAGTCCATCCAGGACACCATCACACCAAAAGTTCCAGGCTGTCTGGGGTCTTAGAGCAAACTATCTTTCCACCATCATGTATGACAGGTAGGCGCGTTTATTATCCTTCCATCTTTACGGATAAGAAAACTATTTCAAAGACTCGTCCATTGTAGAATGAATGTGGTGGAACCAGGACGAAAAGCCAGGGCTTCTTACTGAAAGTTCTCTACTCTTTCTACCGTATTATGCTATCGAGAACACAGAATGTCAGAGTGAGAAGTCACTTAGAGGTCATCTGGTCTAATGCCCTCATCTCTTCAAAGAAGGGAGTGGTCCTCAGGGAAGATAAGTGACTTGTCCAAGGTCACACGTGTAGTAAGAGGCAGAGCCAGAATTCAAATTCAACTTTTCTGACTCCAAGCCCACTGGTCTTTCCATGTTGCGAGGACCTGACAAGATGACACAGACAAGGTGCTTTGCTTCTGGTAAGCATTAGTTATGTGAACGTGAGTTCTTGGGATTCGTCTTTTTCCTTTAGTTCTTACCTAAAATATGGAGGCAACTCTAGAAAGGCCTGACACCCCCATGCTACTGAAGCTTCACAAATGCTTTCCCCACTTAGGGAAGAGCAGCTTTTAAATAAACAAAGGAATATTAACTTCCCTTCTCAGGGTCTCCGTTTCCCAAGACTTCTAAGGGCCCCTCCAGCTCTAAGAGTCTGTGTTCTAAGATACCCCCCAGTTCTGACAGTCTTTGATCTGGTTCTATGTTCTAAGGTCCCTTCCAAGTCTGACAGTCTTTGCTCTGTATTCTACACTGACATTTTATGATCCTAGATTTCTGCAGTGGATCAGCCCCTGAGAATCTCTGGAAAAGAGCTCATATGCCCAGACAAAAAAAGGAGGCAAAATCCTGGAAATGTTTCTGGGCTGCGTGATTTCTTTCAGTGCATGGTTTGGGGTGAGGTCGGGGGGAGTGAGGTGTCACTGCTTCTCATCAAGTCTGCTACAGTATTCAGTCCATATAGTTCTAGGCCAAATGGAGTTGGGAAGGCCCTTTCAGATCGAAGTATTCCACACCCCTACCTTTAGGGTAGAATGATGTGCCCCCTAAGTTATTCTGGGGTTCTGCTGAGGTAGTGTAGCATAGAAAGAAGAGTCCTGGCCCAAAAGTTGGTCAGGGTTGGGTTTGAAGGCTAGCTCTGGTCCATATGATCTGTGTGATCTTGGAGGAGTCATAGAACTTTCTGCATCTGTAAGAGGAGAGGACTGGATCACATGGTCAGCTTCTAAATTCTGATTCTTTGCCTTTATTTCTATATTTTGGCTCCACTCTCCAGTCCCAACAGGGATGAGGTGTTTTCATAGCTTGGTATTCTTTTTCTCTACTCCATCTTACTCTTCTGCAATCTATACCTCAAGGAAATCCAATAGTTCAGTGGCCTGAAGGAAAAGAGGTGGGATGAAGCACAAGGACTTGGAAGAATCAGTGACAGTTCTGGGTAGAAAACCTGGTCCTATTCACTCCATACACCCTGGGGTTTCCTGTTTATGTGCTTCTCCCTTTGTGTGGAATGTCCTGCACTCCTCCCTCCCCTAATCGGACGCCTGCTCATTCTGCAGTACCCAACTCCAATGTCACTTCCTCCAGGAAGACTTCTTTGATCTTCCAAGTTGGAAGTTCTCTCTCTCTCTCTCCTTTCTAACCCCTCGTAGTTAGTTCATATTTTGCCTTGTTTTATTGTTACTAGTGAACATGTTGTTCCTCCCTTGCTAGAGAGTATCCCTTGAGAGCACTGACTCGTCTCACTTCCCTGGAGCAGAAGGTGCTACACACATATATAGTTATAGTTTTAAACTTGTTTTTTGATCCTGGGCCAATTGCTTTGAGTCCTTGAGCCTCAGTTTCATCCTCTGCAAAATGAAAGGGTGGACTGGGTGACCTAATATTCTGTGTTCTATATTTTGAGGTCATCCCTTCTCATTCTGACATTACATGTTCTATGTCCTAAGATACTTTTCTAGTTCTGACTTTCTACATTTTAAGGTTCTAATCAAGTCTAACAGTCTATGTTTCTATACACTAAACTGCTTCGGAAAAGGAAACGCGTCACTGTTACCATTAGAATGGGCTGCGTTAAAGTGAAAAAGGAAGGGGATCTTAGATAGCTAGTTGGGCAACTTAGCATTTTGGTAAATGAGGAACTGGCATAAAAAGAAAGAGGTCTCAGACAGCAAGAAAAGTGCAGACACTTCACCATGTTTACAAACCAATCAGAGGCCAATCTGAAAGAAATCTCGATGTGAGCTGTTCAGCAGTCACTGATGACAGTCCAGTCAAGTATCTCACTCAGCCTGATTTCTCATCTAAAGGCTGCTAAGCACAGGCTGGTTCATCATTCCAAGTCCTCAAGGTCTAGAAAGTGTGTATGGGGGTGAAGTTGTGCGTGGTAAGCCTACTTAATGGAAGTGACTGGGGGAAGGAGGGCCTCAACCAGGTGCCTGAGTTGGCACTTAATTTACTAGGATGAAAGGGGAATGTTGGTTAGTGCTGGATTTGTCAGGAAGAGAGGTGAGACTTGCCAAAAATGGGTCCAGTCTTCCTTGTGAAGAATAGGTGGAAAGGGATAGCATGAAGGTGCAGCCAAAATGGTAGAACGGCACAATGAGTGCCCTTCCCCCGCCCCCCTAAAAAACCCTAATCTCCTCCAAACAGATCTAGAAAATGCACCAGGCTGAACTCTGAAGGAGAAATCTGAGAAAAAGTCAGAATGAGTCACTTCTCCAGTTCAGATCAGAATAGCGAGACAGACAGAGAAGTCTGTGGCCACCAGGGATGGGATCTGGCCACAAGTATCACTGTGGAGCACTCCGGTTCCCAGGGAGAAACGGTGTGCCAGGGCAAGACGAGGTCCTAGACCCAGACTGGGGCTCTCCAGAGCGTAGGAACAAGTGTCAACTGGTAGCTTTACCATTCACTACCTAGCTCCACCTGGGTCACACCGCCACAGATGGGAAACTACATCCAGGGATGGTTTGTTTTCCTAGGCCAAGAGGAACACATTCAAAAGCAAACAGCAGCAGTATGACTCTGACCCCAGGAGCAGAGCAGGGTCTCAGTTCTGGCTTCTGGCCCAGTCTGAATGAAGCCTGCAGAGGAATGATGAGGGCAAGAATCCCAGACCACAAGGGAGCCTGCATTCTCTGTCTCAGAACCAGTAGAGTTGTCCAGCTGGCTGAGCATGAACACATCAAGCAGCATTCTTCTGTTACTTGGGTTCATATTTGGATCAGGAATTTGTAGACCTCAGACAAGGAGGGACAACAATCAGATTCTGCCCTAGACCAGACCACTCTGGGAGCACTGAAAATTTGCAGATCCCTAGCCCAAACTATTCCTGAGAGTCTGGAATAATACAACACTCAATACCCCTAGAAAGTAGCAGTGGGACCAGCAGACCAGTGCACAAAGCCTGGCAACAAAATGTAGGCTGGAAGAATGACCAAACAAACAAACAAACAAACAAAAAAAGAATCCTGCTATAAAAAGCTGCTATGTGACAGAGACATTCAATACACTCTCAGGAGTAGATGACGACTCTAAAATATCTACATGCAAAGCCTCAGGGGGAAAAAAAAACAGAGCTTGGGCACAGATTCAAACAGAATTCCTGGGAGAGATGAAATCAGTTTAGAAGTTAAAAAAAAATTTTTTTTTTTAATAAACGAAATGAGAGCACTAGGGGGAGAAATCAGAAAAGAAACAAGAGCTATGGAAAAACAAAATGGAAAGGGAATTGATAGTTTGGCATAAGAGGTATAAAATAAAACCTTGCCCAATCAATAAACTTCCACGGGCAGCTAGATGGCGCAGTGGATAGAGCACCGGCCCTGAAGTCAGGAGGACCTGAGTTCAAATTCAGCCTCAGAACAAACACTTAACACTTCCTAGTTGTGTGACCCTGGGCAAGTCACTTAACCCCAATTGCCTAAAAAACCAAAACAAAACAAATGTTGGTATACCCAGAACCTAAGGGGCAGCTAGGTGGTACAGCGGATAGAGTGCTGGCCCTGAAGTCAGGAGGACCTGAGTTCAAATCTGCCCTCAGACCAAACACTTGATACTTACTAGCTGTGTGACCCTGGGCAAGTCACTTAACCCCAATTGCCTAAAAAAACAAACAAAAAAACAAACCAAAAAAAAACTTCCTGAAAATTAGAATGGTCCAAATATAAGCCAATGACTCCATGAGATAATAAAAAATATTACAACAAAGTCAAAAAGGCTGAAAAAATGAAAGGAAATATAAGGTATCTCATAGCAAAAACAAATGATCTGCAAAACAGACTGAGGAGAAAAAAATTAAGAATTACTAGACTACTTGAAAGCCATGAACAACAATAACAAAAAGTGAAGATATCATATTTCAAGAAATCATAAAACACAACTACCCAAATCTCTTAGAACCAGAGGACAGAGTAGAAATAGAAAGAATCTATTGATCATCTCCTGAAAGAAACCCCAAAATGGAAACTTCCAAGAATATCAAAGCTAAAAATCCAGAGCTTCTAGTCAAAGAAAAAATACTGCAAGTAGACAGAAAGAAAGAATTCGTGTATCGAGGAGTCAGAGTCAGTATTACACATGATTTAGTAGCCACCACTATAAAGG